GTTGATGTCACCCCTCGTCTCCGATGTTTTGGTTTGAAAAGAAGGACTCCTTTATTTTTATATAATCACATTCAAAGTTGTTGTTTTTTTGTTCTTTTTCGGCGTGAGGTTATTGTCAGTGAAACGAAAGTTTATAAATGAGAAACTCTTCAGCCCCCCCCCCCCCCTAGTTAACAAGATCAAGTATTGAATAAAGCTGCAGACAGATACAGATATAAAGCAAGTCTCATGTTCAAAGCGATGGATAAGCCTCTGACATTAATTGGAGTGCATAAAACTAAAATCTTTTTGTTGTTGTAGTTTTTTGGGGGGTTTTCGCCTCTTTAACTGACAAAACTGTATGCTGTCGTACTTCAAGTTGTAACTTTAGAATTATTTGGGTAACTCTTCCCCCGGACTTTTTCCCAAAGGGACGTTGTAACATTGGGGGAGATCATACTGGATGACCTCTTGACCTTAAGACGTGTGACAGTTGGGTGACCAGTTTTTTTGGGGGGTTTTCGCCTCTTTAACTGACAAAACTGTATGCTGTCGTACTTCAAGTTGTAGCTTTAGAATTATTTGGGTAACTCTTCCCCCGGACTTTTTCCCAAAGGGACGTTGTAACATTGGGGGAGATCAAACTGGATGACCTCTTGACCTTAAGACGTGTGACAGTTGGGTGACCAGTTTTTGGGACACTCAAGGAATTTCCACTTTCTTCAACTAAAAAAAAAAGGACAACAAATAATAATGTGCGAGGGAGTGTTCAACTATTTATTTAAAGATATTACCATCGTTTCCTGGTGTAACATAAAAGTATCCCAGAATTTAGTATTTCTTTTATACAAAAATTCTCCAGGAAAAAAAAAATGTTTCAAGAAAGGGATGAAGTTTTGAAAGATATATCTACCTAGATATTTAAGAGAAGTCAAAACGTGTTTTTCTCGAAACCACTGAAAACGCATTACATTCAATCAAGTAGAATTGTACGTAGTGTTCTGTTGTTCAGACCGATTCAACAAAGATATACATTTGGGAAAAAAACATTTTTTTTTTGAAAAAATACTTTAATGTTTACACAACAGTATTCATTATAGAAAAAAATTATCGAAATTAACCATAAAAATCTATTTGAAATGATGTCATAGAAATCAAAGTTCGGTAACCCACTTTTGAAAAACGACACAAAATGTAATGGCATGGGAAGAAAAGAACTAACGTCAACATAGCTATTGTAATGTTAATGTTTGGCTATGCATGAAATTGACGAGCCATTTTTTAAATAAAAAAATTGCTCTTAATATATTTTTGACGTAAATGTTCTTGAATTTACTTCCTTCTCTGGGGGCTAAAAGTATGANGGGGGATGAGGCTAACAGGAAATCGTTTCTACAGAAACAAACTATTCTAAGAATTTGGGGGATGAGGCTAACAGGAAATCGCTTCTATAGAAACAATTGAAAAAGGGGGGGGGGCATCTAAGAATTTGAGGGATGAGGCTGGCAGGAAATCGTTTCTATAGAAACAATTAGGGGGGGGGGATCTAAGAATTTGTAGGATGAGGCTAACAGGCAATCGCTTCTATGGAAAATTCTGGTAGTATCTTATAATTTTGGGGCTGAGGTTAAAAGGAAACTTAAGAAAGTATAACCAACAATAAATAAGTTGTTGTTTTTTTCATTTATTGGAGTTCAACCGAAGATTGCTGTGTGTTTGATAGTTCTTATTACTTCAGTCTGAATGACGTCCCCTAACCAACCTAACATGGAAAATAATGTATTTGTACGTAACTTATTGACGCAAAGCACTTCTACCCCTGACCTCATTAGACCCCACCATTTGCGTTGTTTTTCAAGTAATTTAAAAATAACATCCTTCGTCGTCGGACAAGTATAAGTATCAACACGTGTCCGTCTCTCAACCAGTCTTGTTCCTGGATATTCCACGAGCAACATAAGTACTCACATTATTGTCAATTTTTTTCTGTAACATTTCTGGATGAACCAACTTATACTTGTCTCAAGTATTTAAATCTAGGTAAACAAAAAAAATTAGTTGTATCTTTTTCAAATGAATTGTTAATAAATTCATTAATTTTCCTTTTGAATATGATACGTTGATAAACATTTTCTCTGATTGTGATACATTGATAAACAGTTCCTCTGGTTATTATATATTGATAAACAATGCCTCTGATTATGATGCATTGATAAACAGTGCCTATGATTGTGATACATTGATAAACAGAGCCTATGATTATACTACATTGATAAAGAGTGCCCATAATTATGATACATTGATAAACAGTTCCTCTGATTATGATACACTGATGAACAGTGCCTCTGATCAGACCACTGCTATAGGGCTGTACATAATTTCAAGTGTCCGCGTGTTTTCTTTGATTCAACAGTTTAACATTTTGATATATTAATCTCTTCACTGCGTTAATATAGAATTTCCTCCCCGTTTTACAGAACAAATCATATTTTCAATTTAAAATTCATTTTCGGGGGAAAAAACACCGGCCAAGAATAATACGAACTTTTCCTGAAGTTTTAAGAGACTATTTCCATGTTTCAATACAACTGATGTTTAGTGGAATTGTTTTCTATTGCATTTTCAATTTCAGCGAGGGGGCTGGGATACTTTGTTAGTTTCAGTTCCAGTCTTAGGAATATAAAGGAGACACAAAACTATGACTTTTAGTACACAGTCTACTTCGTGTAGACACATATCTATGACTTAGATAAAATATATAGTCTCCTTCCTATAGGCACATGTATATGAGTTTCTGTATATTGACTCCTTCATGTAGACAAATATCTATTACTTCAGGTAACAGACTCCTTCGTATGGTCAGTTCATTAGTAAAGCTCAACATTTAATCCGTGTCAAATTACCGAAATCACAAGATGAACATCACTGTCTCGCATCCCGGGCAGCATGAAGACAGCTTTAAACCAACAGTCGCCCTGAGCCTCATTGCCGCACTGGCCACTGCTTACCTCCT